GTTTTCAAAATCCCCCTCCTCCCCCCTCCCAGAAAATCAAATGGTCGTCTCCTTACCGAAAACATAATCTAATTGAGTCGGAGCAAAAAATGAATTAATTAGTCTAAGAAGGAGTGAATTCGTCTATAAATATAGAAGAGAAGGTCATATTAAAGGCGGCATGAACACCTTCGTCATTTTGACTAACCAACCAGCAGTGCGTATGTTACAGTGAATTTGTTAAATCAGGGATTTAGTAAAATCCATGAAATAATTAGTGATGTTACACACAGTTTCAACGATTTTGTAAGATTTCACTTATCATATTGCTATCGGTTTGCAAAATCTCGAAATTAAAGGTTTAAACTTAATATAAGAAATGTGTTTTTCTTAATATAAATGAGACCAATGATTTTGAAATAGAATTGTTTAAACAAACACTATTATATAAAAATATTGTACAGTGGTTATTGATAAAAGGCATATGAACTGATATTAAGACTACAATTTATTTATTTTTGTATAAGTTTTGGTGACATCTGCTGTTCACATCTATTCTTTCCAGAACATCCACATTTAAAAAGCCTTGCCCCATCATAAATGGAAGACAGTTTAACAACAACAAAATCTGAAATTATCAAAAGATACAGCTGACGGACTCAACAACTGGGAATCAGCTGGTTCATACTGGTTTCTAGTGAATGACCCTACAAAATGTTATGTTTGATAGCAAGACGATAACCTTTCTCTAACTTTCCATGGACAATTGCCATTATATTTCTTGGGTCACCCTTCCAACGATCAACAACTTGGATAGGAATAACAACATTACATCCAATGTCTACTTCTTCTAAAACTCTATTGGACCTACTAACATTCACTAAGCATACGATGGGCTTGTTTTTTCATTGATTGCGACGCGTTTGCACGTTCTTTTTCAATGGTCGTTTTCGTATATACCACACAGACAGCAAATTACTTTTGACGGAAACTCTTCTGTTATAACCGATGTTCCACATAAATATAAGAACAAAAAGATGTGGTATGATTGCCAATGGGACAACTTTCCATCAGAGACAAAATGAAGTAGAAAGTAAGCACGGCCTTCAACAATGAGCAAAACCCATATCGCATAGCAAGCTATAACAGACACCGAAGCATGTACAGTTTTTTTACAAGTAGAACACGATTAAGTTTGCAGTTGCTTAACATACAACACACATATTCGTTATCAGTTCAGTAGGTTGGGGCTCAGAAATGTTCCTTGGTTCCCCATCAAATGTGCACGTGTTTTCGCTTTCAATATTTAATCTGACAAATGTTTTTACTGTCAATTTTAGTTATAAGCTCACCAGGGTGTGAGGACGATGTAAGACCAACTTTTGCATCGACCCCAAACATGGCTTATGCCTGTTTATTCTGTTCTCCTCAAATTGTACAAATTTGACATCAACAGGCTAGTCTTTACAGTGGTTATCACGCATCCATGTGATAACCATATTTTTGACATCAGCATTGGCTCGCTCGAAGCTGTCTTGACTGTTGGGGTGTCGAGGTTTACTATGAAAAATTTTACATTCCGGTCATAAATTATTTAGCTCACTAATGAAGTTCGCAGTGAATTCTGCACTATTGTCACTCTGAAGACTGTTGAGAGCACCAAAAGAAGGAAGATATCAAATATTTGCATTGTTACTTCATATGCACGCTTTGGCGTAAGTAGTTGTAAAACTACAAATTTGGTTGAATGGTCCAAGTATACAATTAAAAACATATAGCATTATACAATTGTATTTCAATGAATGCATGTCTATCAAATCAATCTGAATTGAACTTTTAAATTTGTTTATTATAGACTCAATAACAATGACTTTACCAGCAGTTCTACGATTTTTAGTTGGCATTTATCGCAAAGTTCATTGTAAAGCATACTTCCTATTTGTCTCCTTTACCATGTTGTCACTACCACCATGTCCCATTGAAATGTGAATGTAATGCACTATGTTGTACATGCCTTTAAGACATACATCATATTTGATATCTTCATCTCTTGAAAACAATCTTTATTACGATTTTTTTCTTCACATCTCCACATTGAAGAACTTCATACCTTCATCAAACAAATATTTACTTTTAATTTGATTTTGATCTAAAGAGTGGAGAAAATATAAAAAAAATATTAAAAGTTTTATCACTATGTGATAGCATACATGTATAAGACGGTATGCGAGATAGACCAAATTAAGTGAAGCATGCAAAAATGGTCAAGGTAGTCTAACGTTGTCTGGTTAGTTACCTATCTCATGCTAGTACAATACAATTTTTTTACACAGATTAACTATTGTCATTTTTTACTATTTTTAGTTTGTGGATATAAATGTTTTAATATGCTACATATCAATAATACAACACTTATTTTATTTTTACATATCATTTTTCGTTCTTCAATAAGATATTCTCGTCCTGATATGCATGTGATATATGCCACTGGATCACATAACCTAAACCAACCATGTTCGAACTCTTGGCATATGTGTTTTTCTTCTCTGAAGACTGTATTCACTTTAATGTACTGTCTTTATATTTGATTCTAAAATTTGATATAATTGGTTTTATACTTTTCAGTAATAAATAACAGAAAATGATGGTAAACTGTTGAGGTTTTTAATGTTAACCAATAATTTATCAATATTACAAAATCATTTATCAATATTGAAAAAAATTTTTTTTTAATATCAAATAGTTAGTCGGATTTATTGATCGTGTTATTTACAAATGATTTTTTTTCATATTTAAAATGCTGGGGTTTCGGAAAAGGTAGATCTGACAAATGTTCTTTACTGTCAATTTTAATTATAAGTTCACCAGGGGGTGAGGACGATCATCGTCGATGTTTGCCCAACTTTTGCATCGATCCCAAACATGGCTTATGCCTGTTTATTCTGTTCTCCTCAATTGTACAAATTTGACATCAACAGGCTAGTCTTTACAGTTGTTATCTCGCATCCATGTGATAACCATATCCTTGACATCAGCATTGGCTCGCTCAAAGCTGTCTCGACTCTTGGGGTGTCGAGGTTTACCATGAACAATTTTACATTCCGGTCATAAATTATTTAGCTCACTAATGAAGTTCGCAGTGAATTCGGCACCATTATCACTTTGAAGAATGTTGAGAGCACCAAAAGAAGGAAGATATCAAATATTTGCATTGTTACTTCATATGCACGCTTTGGCGTAAGTAGTCGAAAAACTACAAATTTGGTTGAATGGTCCAAGTATACAATTAAAGTTAATAGCATTATAAAATTGTATGTGAATGATTGCATGTCTATCAAATCAATCTGAATTGAACTCTTAAATTTGTTTATTATAGACTCAACGACAATGACTTTACTAGCAGTTCTATGATTTTTGGGTTGGCATTTATCGCAAAGTACATTGCAAAGTTTTAAATCTTCTGATAAAACATGTGCAGACTTCCTATTTGTTGTAACTACCACCATGTCCCATTTAAATGTGAATGTTATCCACTAAGTGGTACATGTCTTCAAGACATACATAATATTTGATATCTTCATCTGATGAAAACCATCTATTTTACGATTTTTTTTTCACATCTGCACATTGAAGAACTTCATACCTTCATCAAACAAATATTCATTTTTAATTTGATTTTGATCTAAAGAGTGGAGAAAATATAAAAAAATATTAAAAGTTGTATCACTATTTGATAGCATACATGTATAAGACGGTATGCGAGATAGACCAAACTAAGTGAAGCATGCTCAAGGTGGTCTAACGTTGTCTGGTTAGTTACCTATCTCATGATAGAAATGCTAGTACAATACAAAGTATTTTTACACAGATTAACTATTGTCATTTTTACTATTTTTATTTTGTGGATATAAATGTTTTCATATGCTAAATATCAATAATACAACACTTATTTGATTTTTACATATCATTTTTCGTGTCACAATAAGATGTTCTCGTCCTGATATGCATGTAATATATGCCACTGGTCCACATACCCTAAACCAATCAAGTTCGAACTCTTTGCATAATTATGTGTTTTTTCTTCTCTGATGACTGTAATCACTTTAATGTACTGCCTTTATATTTGATTATGCAATTTGATATAATTGGTTTTATACTTTTCAGTAATAAATAACAGAAGCAATATAATGAAAATGATGGTAAACCGTTGAGGTTTATAATGTTAACCAATCATTTATCAATATTAAAAAATCATTTATTAATATTGTAAAAATATTTTTTTAATATCAAATACTCAGTTGGATTTATTGATATTATTTATAAATGACTTTTTCATATTTAAAATGGTGGGGTTTCGGCTGTCAACGTATATTTGTTCCACCTAACAGAAGTTCCACTGGAAACTTTGTTATAAACAATGTCATAATATCTGTTCCTGTTGGAACAAATATTCTATACCATTTATTCCGTTAGGAACATTTACTGTAATATTTATTCCAGTGGAAATAATATTCCAGAATATTTTTTCCATTTGGAACTTATATTATGAAGGAACTTCTATTCCGTGACACGCCCAAGGTAGTAATAAGAGCTTGTCTTCTTTCTGTGGTTCTTTGCTATAAGTTTTTGTCATATTTTCCCCGGTTTCATATGTTACGTTTTAACAGTTCAGGTACTTTACAAAACTCCTGAAATATCAAGGATTTTACAAAATCATTGTAACACATATGCCAGCGACCGATATTAAAAGGTGAACTCGTTCCGTCAAAATTGCCAGTGTATTGTGACCCTGACTATCGTACTACAGATTATTGGTGGAAATTATTAAATACAAAGTTGCACTTGCGTGTCTTTTAAAGGTTGAAATATGATTTTAATACAAAATGACTTCGAAATTCGTTTTGGTTCAGCGACTGTAAGGAATGCTATGTATTCAATGTGACAGGTAAATCCAATTATCTCCCCTTATCCAATTAACACACCTGTTAAACAGCAGACGACAAACTAAACGTGACAAACTTTTTGATGTTCCAACTTTGAACTAAATAAGAGTATTGATAAGCCATTTAAAATGTTGACCAAGACTAGTTTTAAACAATAAAGAAGACTTTTACACAGATAAACCGATGATCCCTCAGGTTCACAGGTCACGTGATCATATGTGACATCTCTTATTTTTGTACACATTTCACGCATAGCTAAATATTTTGATGGGAATACACCACAGATCCATAAAATTTTAATGATGGACAGATGACCAGTGCCATAGGGTGACCAAGCATGATGGGAGCACCCTTCCTGAGAGGGGTAAGGACCACGCCTCCTCTTGGATGCGTTGCAGGTAAGTTACAGGTATTTCTGTAATGACCGATATCTACCCCATTGTGTCGGTTGTTTGTAAACAGAGATATCGATAAGTATTTATGTAACTGTTCAGCGTGGAAATTCTTGTAGTAAATTTACTGTGTGGAATTCTCATGGCGCACTTTTGAAATAGCATCTAACATGGGTTTATAGTCATAAAATTATGAAACTGAACATGTTCAAGAACTTTAATATTGTTTGGTTTTGTTTTAGTTTTTGTTTTTGTTTATTTGTTTTGAATTTGAATTACTAATTCAGTACTTTGGAATGTTGAAAACATTTACAAATTAAAGTTATATGTTAGAGTTCAAATGAATGATTTGTAAATTCTTGAATTAAAAAAGCAACAGATGAACATTTTAATCTTTCACTAAAATGGACTATAATTGTCTGTGCAAAAATGTCCTCTACAGTGGCGGATCCAGAAATTTTCATAAAGGGGCCCACTGACTGCCATAAGAGGGGGCCAGCTTAGTCATGCTTAAATTTGCAAAGCATGGGTTGTCCTCAGCTTAATATAAAGAATATTTCGATGATTTTACCTCAAAAATTTAAGTTTGCGCCCCCCCCCCCCCCCCCTCTAACCTAAAATCCTGGATCCGCCCCTGCAAAGAAGTGCTCATATTTCTGGACTGAAGTTACATCTATTAAAATTGTGTACAGTTTAATACATAAAATGAAAGAGAATAGTTATGAATAGGAATCTATTATGGATTATTGTCATCTTGCTGAATTTTTATCCAAAAGCAAAGAATTCCATGCACTGTTTTGTGCATATTAAAGCCGAAATACATATACATTGAATGACAAAATGACTTACATAACAACCCAAGAAATTAAGTATAACACCCCCCCCCCCCCCCAAACCTGCAATAAAGGTCACCTCTATTCAGGGAAATTCTGTCTTGCCAGATATAAACCTCTTCTTGTCCCAGTGTAGTAATACCTATGCATTTTGCTACTTTAAAATTCCAATGTAATATCTCTCAGTTTTTCAAGTTCTGATAGTGACCTTTATGTAGGGGTTTGACTGTACACAAAATGTTAGTTATTCTTGGATGTTTTTTTTGCTGTAGTGCTGCAATAACAGATGCCAGAAATGCTTAACATTTATTTTTAAGGCTTTAAGGCGTGAGTTGGGGTCTTCTTCTTTGTTAAGTTGTTATATAGAAATATAATTATTTTAAAATGTTTTATACAATGTATGATTTATTGATGTTTGGCATAAATAGGCAAACATGCACAAACAGAGGGGAGGCAAGTTTGAAACAAATGCCCTGACTTTTGTTTGTCTGACAGCAAGTCCAAAAAAAGGCAGTCAGACTTAGGAGAAATCTCTGACTACCCATTATTTAGAAAAATTATGTAATATATATAGAATATCCTGTGCAACAAAGCAACTCTTAAAATATTGATTGTGTTAAAATTCATTGTGATTCAGAATTGATATTTAGTGTTTGAAAAAAAGTTACAATTGCAAATGTAATTGAATAATATAGTTTAAAGGGAAAAATTTTTAAAAAATCACTGTCAGACAATGCTTTTCTCTAAACCATAATTTTTCTATACCATGTTTGATAAGTTTATTTAATACTAAAACAGGAAAAACCTTTATTTCTGTTGTGCCTGATTTTTTTAGATAAGTTTTTATTGAACCTGAGACTTCTGTTTCATAATAAGCTGGTGACTATACTCATGCTATTTACCAGTATACCCATAAATGTATTGCAAATCCCATAAATTAAACATTGGATATTTTCATGGGGTGTTATTTTCACTATTTCATGACTTGAGCAAGAAGCATGTATATGTTTTTTTTTATTTAAGTTTCTGATGTCATTGTAGCTTTTATTGTTAGCACTCATCTGTTTACAGTATGATTGTTTTATTACAAATACTCAGGGTTTTTGCTTTTTTTTCGAACCCAATATCTGGATTCGGGTAGAGGCATGAAAATCAGAATAATACTGCCAAAATCAGGATAGTTGTGGGTCTGCAATTTTTTTGGCAATTCTTATTTAACATCAGCAAAAAACTCTTATTTTTACAGTCAATTTTGCAAAAATTAGTTTGATCTAAAATAAAGAACTAACCATTTTTCTTGTTTAATAAGCTGATCTTATATTTTACAATTTACACATCACACAATTTGTTTTATATTTTATAATTTTTCTGATGCATATAATTTCAAGGACAGTATTTATTTTGCCTGAGGTAGAAAAAATTAATTGATGAAGATATGAAAATACCAGCAATTATTAATATGTTGACAGATTATGATATATAATTATGGTATTTTATCTTATATTCATATCCAAAATATTTTGGTGTAATTATGTGATTTTATAAAGCAAATTAAGATAAAGTAGATAGTGCAAAAAATATAGAGGCTTAATAAAGGGGGATTTCAAATAATAATGAATACAAGCAAATGCAAGTGTAAAAATTTAACAATGGGGGTTATCGCATAGGGGAGATAATTCATTTTTTTATTTAACCTTATCACAATTTATACTTTTATTTTTACAATTTACCATTTAAAATTAAAGTCTAAAGAACAAAATTAAAATTAAGAAGAAATCACTGTAAAAATTGTGTAAATTTGTTCATTGAACATTTTTTAAGTGCTGAATTTTCTCTAACAGACTGTAAAACACCATTGAATTCATGGACCCTTTTTGTGGTGAAAAGAGGACTTAAGTATGCCTGTGTAGATCTGATTTTTTTAGATTTCAGATTTAAGATAAGTGGGGTATGATGTTAAGGAGAGCTTGATAAAGACAGAAGAAAAATGTTCTTACATTTTATTATCCACTCGTTTGTGTGTGTTTAAGTTTTCTTTACAATTGGTACAGAATTGGTCATGTTTGTACCTGTTTGATGATGTCTTGCTATGTAACCTCTCTTACCATTGTTTAATAGTGATTTTAATCACACTTGTAGCATTCATTTAATTAATACTAACTTTGCTTGTGGCAGTTTATGATTTAAAACATTGATTGCATAAACCAAAACTCATAGATATAAGAAGATGTGGTATGAGTGCCAATGAGACAACTCTCCATCCAAGTCACAATTTATAAAAGTAAACTATTATAGGTCAAAGTACGGTCTTCAACACGGAGCCTTGGCTCACACGAACAGCAAGCTATAAAGGGCCCCAAAAATTACTAGTGTAACACCATTCAAAGGGGAAAACCAACGGTCTAATCTAAATAAAAAATGAGAAACGAGAAACACTCATGAACCACATCAACAAACGACAACTACTTAACATCAGATTCCTGACTAGAATATATTTCTTGAATTTCATTTGACATTTAGGGTTGCCATAACATGTAGCTGAACAATGTTTTTCATGGATTTAAAAGCCATATACAAATGTAATTATTCTTATTTATTTTCTTTGAAAGGAGATTTTCTAATTTCTATTTAAGAATTTATCACTTCTGGAGGCCTAACATCATAGCAAAAATTTTAAGAATGAAAAATAAGCAATTTAGATAAAATCTGCAGCATGGAACACAAAATCTATTGATTGATTGTTGGTTGCTTAACAGCCATAATAATAGGCCCAGTGGCAAATATTTCATGCATGTTCAGGACAAAAAAGAATGGATATGGTGTATGGTAGTTCATGACACAAAATTATTTCAAGCTCATGAAAAAGCCAAAAGCAAGGGAACAGCACTTTTATTTGCTGTTATTCATTTGAAAGTCACGATGAGGCCTTTGAATTCAACATGGAGCAAAAACTCTCACCTCTCTGAAACTTCTAGACAACCCTTTACATCGGATCAAATTAAGCTGAATTCTTTGTTCATTGTTTATCAGGCTAATATAAATCATTGAAGAACACAGCTGTCAGATAATATAATTAAAATTTGTCAAAGAAATCTGATAAATATGTCATAAATTTGCTGCATAATCTTTTACAGAAACAATACAAACATTAAAAAAATCAAGATATATTTGTTTGATAACCTGAGGGAAATTATGAATGGTTAGGACAAATACTATCCATGTTTACTGTATAACAATTTTAATAGAAAAATAAAAACTAGCCGAATTTGAGAAAATGATGTAGCACACATTTAATCTTTGGATACCTACTTCTTAGTTTAAATTTAAGAGCAACCCTGCCCTTTTGATCATTATAATCTTTCCCCAGATTTGGTCCTCTATTTTAAAATGCTTAAGATAGAATTAAACAATGGCTATATTATATTTCATATTTATCCATTGAAATAATATCTTTTAGATGGTTATTTGAATAGATTAAATATGATTAGCATTGACTTTAAAAATCTAGGTAAGGTTTTATAGTCAAGTGTCAAAAGTCTTTTTATATGCAAGCTGACATTGCAAATACATGTGCAATTATAAGTCTATTTTAAAAATTTATCTTTTTAAATTCTATCATTGAAGTAACTTACTGGTACATGTATAGCAATTAGTGCAAATGGTTGACATCATCATAAATACTAACCATGTACTTATTTCCAAATGGAATTTGCACTGTCATTTTATTTTGATTTTAAACATATTTTATTCTGTCATTATTATTATGCTCTAAATTTCACTACATGTATTGTAAAAAGTTGGAAATGTTCTTTTCTACATGTACTTAGCATTAAACACATTTTTGCCATATCCTTTTTCATCATAAAAAATATTCATAGTTGTCAAATAAGATACTGTAAATTCAGAAATTATTGCGAGGTTTTTATTAATGCGAATAATGCGACCCAGGGCAGGTGCTGCAATAATAAGACGTCGCATTCTCAATTTTCTACATATATCTATATTTAGATTTTCCTGAAATCGCAAGAAAAAGGGGGGGAAATAATAGGTGGCCAAAATTAAAATCAGTTGACCTGCAGTTTTCCTAGCCAGATAAGTTGCATGTTATCAAATCTGTCCTACTTAAGATTGAATGATAGCTTTTGTTGACTTCACAAGCAGAGTGTTTTTATACGCCCACTAACGGGACATATTATGGTATACTGTTGTCTGTCCGTCCGTCTGTCGTCAACATGTTGGACAATAATTCAAAAACACTTAAACCAATTTCTGTGAAACTTTGGTGAATTGTTTATATCTATTGATGTGAGCTCCCTTTTGATTTTTATAAATTTTGGATTTTACGTTCCCAAGTTATGGGGGTTTTATTCATTAAAAAGGGGGATTTTTCCAGTTTTCGGACAATTACTCAAAAATGCTTTGAGCAGTTTTCATGAAACTTTGTTGACTGGTTTATATCTATTGACAAAGCGACAGGCGTATCATGCGCTCATGGCGTAGCTGTTTATTTGCTCCTTCTTCTAAAGGATGTTTTTAAAAAAAACATGTGCAATATACTTTGGTAAAAATAAAGATTGAAACCATTTTTTCTTTACATGTAACCACTAGAACATATTCTAATTTTCCAAAAATTGCAGGACATCCTGTGTTATTTTGTGCCAGGCATAAATAATCTTCAATATTAAATCTAGATTTTTTTTTATTTAGAGAATGTGTCCCTATTATTTTTAAACAGGTTTTACAAATTTACTGTCATCTTTTATACTTTGCTGGTTGTCCAATAATGTTAGACCTACAGACCCTATTAAATCAAATATCATACATATATATATTTATTTAAGATATCCCTTGATCTTTGATCTTTGATTGATATTATTGATTGATCAGGTCAATATTGTTATTGTTGACAAAAGGTGTTATGGGTCACATGATACCTACAGGTATGCTCGGAATCTCATATATCTCTATATATTATTTATAATAGGTATATCCTATTTCATATTAAAGTTATAGGTATCTTTATAGTACCACTATCACAAACTTGAATGAGAGTTTAATGGACACAAGGCTTAACACATGTGCCATAGAATTAATCCCAAGAACAAGGATAAACACCTCATTTCAGACAATAACAGATGTATGATGTATCTATGGTATTAAAGATCATTAAATATTTGTATTTGTCACAATATATTCACCAAAGAAATTTGTAGATTGTTAGGTATATTTTTGATTGAACTTATAACAATAGTTTACCATAAGAAAAGAATGAGTAGCTTTTGTGAGAGGTTTAGCTAGCTATTAAACCAGGTTTAATCCACCATTTTCAATATTAGGAAATGCCTGTACCAAGTCAGGAATATGACAGTTGTTTTAAATTCGTTTGATGTGTTTGAGCTTTGGATTTTGCCATTTGATAAGGGACTTGCCTTTTGGAATTTTCTTTGGTGTTCAGTATTTTTGTTATTTTACTTTTTTGTATCAAAACTTCAAAGTGATAATGATCACCGATTGGTCTACGTTTACTTTTTTTGTTTCATTGTTATTGGGTTGCTGTCTCATTTAAATTTAAACACTATTAATTGTGATGCTGTCAAACCTCTCTATTTACAATGTTTTATTTCAAAAAGGTCTCTCAAATTTACAAGAGGAGACTGGATGTGCAGAGGGTACAATCATTTCTCAGTTGGACTTTTTTACTCCAAAGAAATGAATGTGTTAGGTCAATTAAGTAAGCCATAATGTACTATGTCAATATCTAGAACTCTATTATGTTATAGTATAGGTATGTTAACAAAAGGTCTATTTACATTTATTGTCTTTCAATGTAGGTTTGGTCAAAGGAAGACAAACTGTTTGTTTATGAAACCCTTAAAATGTATGGCAAAGATTATGGATTTTAATGGAGAAATTTTTTTCAGATCACCTGTCATATCAACAAAATCTTTGAAATTTCAAATCCCTGAAGTGCCCAATTATTTGGAGGATAAATCTGAAAAAAATCTACTAACTTGCTATTTTCCTTCAGTAAACGAAATCTTGAATGAAAATACTGAATATGTACCTCATGTGATGGATTGTTTATTATTTCTTGTTTAAATGGTTTTCCCAAATCTGTAAAAATGCTGAAATACATGAAAGATCGTATAAGAAAGTCAATTTGAAATACTATTCTTCCTCTTTGATATACTAGCTTAACTCATTAATGAGTACTCAATACTTTGTGTGTGTACTATAAATAAAATAAAAAATAAAAATCTTAATATTTTTTGGTACTATATTCTTATAATCTACCTTGATACTTTACTTGCATCAACTGGGGAAAAAAAGAACTTAAAGTCAAGATGTAATGGCCATTTTTCAATAATCCATTAGTCTAGATGTTTAACAGCTAGAATCTTAGTGCATGTACATTGTATGTTGCTTTGTCATGACCATAAAACTTAATGGTAAGAAAGAAAGGAAGAATTGAGGGAAGAAAGCACTTGACATTGATTCTATCTTGAAAGTATAGATAACTTAACTACCAGTTCAATTAACTATCAGTTGACATGGCATGTAGATTGCAAAGAACAATTGATTTTCCAATTAGGCAAAAATAGTGGCATTTTTCAAGATACAGACCTAAAAAAGTTGACATTTAGAAAGTAACCTTGCTAGAATTAAAGAAAAATTATTAGGACAATATTTTTTAGTAAAAAATAAATATATGTTCATGTGGCTCTCATTAACACAATTTTTATTTATTGCCTATCAATTCTGCACCTAAAAATATGTGTCTCGTAACAGCGTAGAAAAGACTTGTTAGTTCCTTTTGGGCTACAACAAATGTATTATTTTGCCTTTGGTATAATGCAGAGTGCACAGAGTGTCTCAGGTAATAAAAAATATCGGCTGTTTTTTAGTTCCTTTAGTCAGCTACAGAAAATATATTATTTTGCCTTTGGTATAATGCAGAGTACATAGAGTTTCTAATAATGTAGGCTACAAACATCGACCAATCAGGATTAGCCATACTCTTAATTCTGAATACCATGTTCTACTCAATGGTTTATTGTAACATGTAGAACATGTAGGAATTGAGTTGTTTCCCTTTATACATGATGCCTGTATTATAGGTATTATGTTAAATTTTATCCTTTAGTTGTGTGGAAAATTTAGAGGCTATTTAATTGTATGTCACACAAGCTCAATCTCATGTAAAAAAAACTTGTTGATAGAAACCTGTTACATAATGTACTTGGGATGTATCAGAAAAAGATATAACTAGTCATGAATAAAATATTGATAAACACTACTGATCAACAGCTAGTTATTCATTCTATTACAAATTTGTATTCTATTTTGTTTTTACATCTGAAATAATTTTGAACCCGATAATGACTATACTATCGCTATTTAAAAAATGGTCAAAATGTTGTGTACATTAAATTCATTAACCGCATGTGACGTCGCACAAGCTAGTCCTGATTTTCAGGGGAGAATATGAACTTTTGTTAATGGTCACGTTGAATTAGTCTCAACCAATCAAATTTTGATTTCCCTTATAATACTTGCATACAGTCAAATAATATGAATTAACTGATGCATATAAGATGATCACTTTATTATAGTTAAACAAGGAAAAATCTTAAAAATTATGATTTTGTATCAACCAACTGTATTTCATACATTAGTAAATACCGGTAAGACTCATTGGATTTGTGATTTTGTATGGTACCCATATCATTTAACTTTTATAGTAATAAGAGTATACTCAAAATAATATCCTCAAAAATATCTTATGATGTCTAAATTTTGATTTTTTAAACCAGATCCATATATTTAAAATCTCAGTTATGTTATGATTTCTAAAGAAACATATTTTTTAAGTTGCTAATTATGTTTATGTACTGTGGATTCATTATTATTTCTTGGATACTAATTATCATGGATTTTGTGGGTATGTGTGAACCATGAATTTAAATGTTCAATGAAGTACAAATTTTCCATATGCAGACTTAGACAAAAACACACAATCAAAAATCCACGAAAATACAAATTTTTGGCAATCCTTAAAAAATTGTATCCAAGAAAATTAATGGATCCACAGTAATTAATGTTTAAACTAAAATAGAAAAATGGAAAATGGAAAAAGTAAGAGATTAAATATGTATTTTATTTTTTTCAGGACTAGTGTTTTTAATCTACCTCAGTTCACTTGTGACAGCAACAGGAAGAATTGCATTCTTGGACCATTCTGCAAACTCATCACTAGTGCTATCACAGACTACAATAAATTTTAGCATGAAAAATTTTAGAATTGCATTTTCATTTTTAACTTGTAAAGAAGGACAACTTTTATACCAAAGAGGAAGCTCAGGAGATTTTATAAGATTATTTTTACAGAGCGACTCGTTTCATATTTCATGGAAAAAGGAATTAACAAAAGTGTCATTAACTATCGCAAATCATTTGGATAAGAATTCATGGTATTCTATAGATCTATTTGAAAGAACCGGTGATATTAATTTTAAGTTGGATAAAAGTGGTGTTTCAATTGAAGATATTATAATTGCAAACAATACGCACAGGACAAGTATTTTTCGACTGAATTTAAGTGGAAACACAGGTCTTTCGATCGGAGGAAATGATTTTACTGGCTGTGTGTGGCAGGGACCATATGTTTTATTTTTAAATAATCCAAACATTATAGAAAACCATGTGATATGGAATGATACAGTATGTCCCTTCAGTTCTTCTGATTGTACTGGTAAGATATAGTCTATTTAGATAGATTTTGTAGACATACTGTGGTTTCATCATTATTCATGGGATACCAATTTTTGTGGATTTCGTGGGTACAGGTGAATCCTAAATTTAAATGTTCAACGATTTACAAATTTTCTATAGTCTTATATGCAGAATATGGCAAAACCACTAAATCAAATATCCATGAAAATGAGAGTTAGGTTTGAAAATTGGTACCGTGAAAAGACATGAATCCACAATATTTAGATAGATTTTGTAGATATATTACATTTAGATAAAGATATGTGAAGATTTTGTAGATATATTACATTTAGATAAAGATATGTGAAACTGATCAATTGTTATAGCACTAATATATTCCTCAATATTAATGAAATAACAATTTTATAATATAGTACCAAAAATTTCAGCAACATTTATGATACTTAGTCCAATTTGTGCAGCTATGATACCTGCAGTAAGGGCGTAATGTCCATTATTCCACCATCCTTTTTAGCTCTCACCTGCTTGCATACAAATATTGTTTGACTTGGAACCTCTCTTAGTGCCTAGAAAGTAGGGAATGCAATATTGATTAAAATGCAATATTTTCAAATCATCTACATTGCACTTCTTTTTAAGGTATATATAAGTTTAAGGATTTCAGCAAAAATAGCATTTTTATTTTACAAAGTAGTCTACATGAAATATTTGATACTTTATTATAAATGTAAGTTATTTCTCTACTTTTAAAATATGACAGGTTTATGAAAAATATTTGAGACATCCCTGATGCCATATTTATTTTAATATTATTACTATTAGCCCAATTTAAGCCTTCAATATTTTAAACTTCCAGGTTTGCTAAATGTTTACTAGAGTTAACTCCCCTTCACCAATAATATTTTTGTAACAAGTAATCCACATAACATTGAATAGAAAAGCAGTTTCTTTTTTTTCTTATAAATTGCAAAATTGCTTTATATTTGAAGAATCAATTCAAGTTTATTGGTTTCAATTTTATTTCATAAAACAGCAAGAAATGCTTTTTATTAAAATATTTCAAAATAATGCAAGAAAAACTTAATTGTTTCCAGATATAATAAACAAAAATTTGAATTATGTTTTGCCAAGTAATTATTCAGTGATTTAAAAGTTAAATGGAAAAAATAAAATTTACAAATATTTCATTTAAGCTCATTTTACATACTGTAGGGTATTTGCTAGAAAGGAAGATGCTTTGAAAATTCTTTATTTAGTACATGTAGTTCTTTTTGGTAGTAAAACTGCAAATAATTTTTTCATTTTTCAATCAGCAATTGACTAATTTTTAATATAATGGAAAACATTAATGGTCCGTTTGTTTTTTTTGCATTCAAATGGTTCTGGGCATTGCATAAGATTGTGTCTTCCTGTGCTGTTTATTGTATACTGTTGCTGTATTAAATATACTCAAAAGTCATTAGAGTGTTAAAAAGCATGATTTTATAGCAGATTTAGTGCTTTGAAATTGCTTTCAGCAAATGTGTGCAATTTTTTGATACAGTATTTGTTATTGTCCCCTGCGCAACCCAGTGAAGGTGACATAGAAATGTCAGGTCTGTACATGTGTTTGTCTGCATCTGTGTTTGTTGATGTACATGCATCTGTCTGTTGTTAGTGCATCTATCCAGTCTTGACAGGTTCACACATGTACATTTCATGCCAGACTTTTATGAAATATCAAAGGTTTACATTAGCAATGTCACAGGCAAGTTCAAAAATCAATGCAGGTCAACTATTTTTAAAGGAGATATGCCCTTGGGATTTATAAATTGTATGGAAAATTGCTTTGTAAGTACTCTCAAGCTTACATTTCCTCTAGCACTGTTTTAAAACTTATTTCAAATGTAATATAAGGCGATGAAAATCATTGCTGATCAACTATATTTACAGAAATTATGTCCCTTTGACATTTTATTTACAACCAACTTGCATTTTAAACACTCTCTCATCTACATTTTTCGTTTGATTTGTATGAATTTTACATCAAAGGTTTTTATCAGCAAGGTCTTGGAAGAATCTTAGTGCCTATTCACAATTTTGCACGAGTTATGCCCCTTAGAAATAGAATTAACAAGGAAAATAAGATTGCTAGCAATTTCTTTCCTATATTTCTTGTAGGATACTAACTTGCCGTCTTACAGATAAAATATGTGCATCATCCTTTGATTGAGTTAAGCCATTTCAGTTGATATTTTATAGTGTGTCTTTCTATGTTGTGATGTTACACTATTGTTTCTGAAAAAGGGTGAAGGTTTGGTACCATTAAAACGTTTAAACCTGCTTCAATTGTTTGCACCTGTCCTAAGTCAGGAATCTGATGTTCAGAAGTTGTCGTTTGTTGATGTGGTTCATAAGTTTTTCTCGTTTCTCGTTTTTTTTTTATAGATTAGACCGTTGGTTTTCCTGTTTGAATGGTTTTACACTAGTAATTTTTGGGGCCCTTTATAGCTTGCTGTTCGGTGTGAGCCAAGGCTCCGTGTTGAAGACCGTACTTTGACCTATAATGGTTTACTTTTATAAATTTTGACTTGGATGGAGAGTTGTCTCATTGGCACTCATACCACATCTTATATCTATCAGCAGGGGATTTAGCAGCTGTCTTTTTATTATTGTTTTTTTTTGTACTTGTGTTACATTTATACCATTTTTAGAGTTAAGAGTATTGATTTTTCTTGTATGTTCTGTTATGTTCAAATATACTACTTGTTAGTCCATTGTTTTTTTGATGATTTGAGATAGAAACATACTGCTTGTTGACTAGATGTCTTTATTACAAAGGGAGATAAACACTTAATACGAGGATATAAACCTGTTTTTTTTTAAAGTTATATAAATCAAGTTAGGTGGTAATTATTTATTGAAACTCTTGCTCAAACTCCCAATATGAATAGAAACTGTTTTTTTAGATTTTTCTTCTCATTGAAGACAATTATAATGTTGAGACTGAGAGAATGAAATAGTTTATTTCTATTTAAGTAAGCTTTGTTAATGAAATTTTAAGAGTTGTCTGTCAGTCTGTTTGTCTTGAATGTATTTTTCATAATATTTACAGTTAGTTAACTTTTGTTAATGGGTCAATTTTCTTCTGTGTCAAAAGATGTACATTGGTAATGTGACAGATTTACACCAGTTGGGTATATATAGAAACAAATGTTATGGTGTTTAAAAAATGGCTGAAAATGGGTAAATACTTTAGTCTGGGAGAACATGATTTATTTATTAGTTGTAATTGGCTTTGAACTAGCTTTCAGTAACTGAGAGTACTCATATTTCTATGCTGTGTATCTATTGTTTTTGTGTTAGTGGTTTTTGTACCCGGCAATCTTTTGAGCTAAGCCAATTGCAACTGATTTTTACAATTTGTTCTTATGATGTGCTGTTACGTACACCACTGTTTCAGGGGAGGGTTGAGTGCTTACAAACATTTTTAACTTTGCCATATTCTTAATGTACCTGACCTAAGTCAGGAGACTGTACTACAGTGGGTGTTGTTGGTTCATGTCTGTCATATTTGTTTTTTGTAAATTGTTTTGTTTTTAATATGTCCATCCGTTTTACATTTTTCATGTCAGGGCCTTTTATACTATAGTCGACTATACGGTATGGATTTTGCTTATTGTGTAAGGCCATACAGTGGCCTATAATTGCTTACTACCACTTAATTTTAACTCGAGTGGATAGTTGTCTCATTGGCTATCAAACTACATCTCCTCATTTTTACATATATATATAGCAGCATGAATCAAATATGCCGCTATGGAAAGTCTAAACTAAATAACACTGGTTAGTAATATAACATCCCATCCCTACATAAGTGGTAGAAAGAGCCCCTAAAATAAATTTTATAGCAAGATGGACAGGGGCAGGAACCTAGGACTTAGGGATAAAAGAACCTTAAGTATGGATGGTGGGCCATGGGTGGAGATGTCAAGAAGGATGAGGACTTACATGGGATGGGAGGAAAATCAATATAGGTGACAAGAAAACAGAGTAACCCAGTGACCTGGAATAAGGAGGGATCTCTTGATATTCTATGGGATGGGCAGGAGTATTTTTACAGCTGACATAATCATAAAGAAATTTTTGTTAAGGCAATGCAACATTCATTTACAAAGTGCTTTTGGTAGAAATATTAAATTTATCTTTGCATGCCAAAGTACATATAGCAATTGCCAGAAAAGGAACCACCTAATGTTAATAACGTGATTGTGATTTTTACATAGACTTAAAAAAACAAATTCAACTTTATAAAACTTCCCAGTTACTGGTGTCAGTAGTGCTAAGATTTTTGTAATTTTTAGCTATACATGTATATGTATACAACCTACTTATGCATTTTCAGTAATGCCATGTGTCAGGTAAAATTGTTTGCTGTGCTGTGTAAGCAATGTAGGAGTCATGATTGATTATAATTTGATGAAATTTATGACAGTTGTTATTTGAATGAAAATGTAAAGCAGTTTGATAATTTCCTGCAATGTGCACATTGATTTATGACATTACATATGGGTCAATTGAACTCTTTGTACAACATTGATAATCCATCATTTTATCCTTAAATAAAATTTGCTAACACAGAAATACAATGGAGTTTTTGAACTGGTACCTGAATGACCATGGAGCTAAGACATTTTTTGACAAACACCTATTTCCTGTTTTCGGAAACTGCTTTAAATTAGCAGTGGGTTTATGCTTGGCATGAGATGTGTGCAACTTCTTGCTTTACTTGTTGGGCACTAGCTTGAGTAAGCTTGTATCAATCAACTTCAAACTTAAACTGTTGGTGGGATGGGTGAAAGTTTTCTTTCTATTGATGATGAAAATTTTGAGGACTTCAGTTTGGTGCTGTTATAGGTATAGAACCACTAATTCAGGCCCGGTCAGAAAGAACATACAAGAAAGTAGTACATGTTTTAAACAAAATAGTTCCTACGCATAGCTGTATCTTTGTCAATAGCGGGTATATTTGGGTAGTTT